TTTTGTCCCCCCACCCCCCCCCCCCCCAAACAAGACATAATGCAATGAACCTATATATCCCAATTACTCACTTAAGCACTATAATCATATCCATAAGTCTTGGTTCAACAATACTTTCCATCTAATTTCTATTTTTATCCATTTCATAATATCATAAATTTGTAATTCATATGGCTAATTATATCTCTATCCTTTTGCCCCATCCATTTTGTAATATTAACTTTCCTCCTTTTTAAAGTATTCACTAATTTCATCGACTTTCAATGTCAACGCACCCACACCTAACATAAGCTCATTAATTAAATGTGCAACTATTATTTTCTTCTGTCTTGGGAAGATTAACAATATTATTGTGTGGCTAGAACTTGGAAGTGTCACACCAACATTGTCAAATCCTTAAACACAAATAGTACGTACCTTGGCCGTCACATTTGTCATTAATCTTGTCACCCCATAATTAGTTTCATATTTTTACTACTATATAGTATAGTTAGTAATAGTAAAATTACTTTTATAAAATCAAAACTTCACTTCACCTCCAAAGTTGAGTAGTGCTACTACGACTAATGGAGCTTGTCCCTCTTAGGACAAATATATATGACCCACCATATTATAGTCGACACTAATAATCTTCAATGTCTCATCAAATCTAACTTCTTGTCACTTTATCATGTGAAACTCAAAATTTGTAGCAAGTTGTGAATTTTAGTTCTAGAAACTTTATAATGAATCATACGTAATTAGGTAGGAATACTTGGATAATGGTATTTGATTGAAGTCAATAAGAAAAGTATTTGATCTTAAAAATGTAAAATGGTATTTTGAAAGTTGATTTTTTTTAATGACAGTGCTGTCTGATCAACTTTCGTATTCTTCAACAAATTTCATGGGATATCTGCCATCTCCCATCAACAACAGGTACCAGGTAATTTAGTTCGCTAATTAAGGAGTAACCTCTCATCACCAACATGTATCAGACAGTAACTCTATCCACTAAGGTTAGGACATATGAGAAGAATATAATATTTTCTGTCTCCACTGAAATTTAAATCTAAGACCTCAGGACTCTCAACCACTTCATTGACCAATAAACCACACCCTTAAGTACGTAGTAATTGAAGTTTTTTTTTTTCATCTTTTATTCCTGACTGTGATGTCTGAACCAACTTAATTGTGTTTGAACTAAAGTTCATGAAAGTTGAAAATTTAGGAACTTTATTTCAAATTTAATGTGTTTCATAATTGAGAAAAATTAGGAGGGTTTCGTTTTAATTTTAGACATGTATATCCATTATAAAGACTAATTCAATCCTATCACATCATTATTTCAATTTCAAAATTAAAAAAACAAATATAATAAAGAAAGTTAGGAGTATTCCATTTTCTTTTTAACCAATATTTCCATTAGAGATATAGATGTAGTGCCTTTAGGTCTAGGGTATATTTTAGTAATATTGGTTTTAACTTTTAAGTGGAGTCTACTTCTCTTGTTCCACCCGGCCCAATGAGGCACAGTCCAACCCAATGCCAACCATAACTACCTCTTCTAACAATTTAAAATCTTACCAAACTACATGTTCTATTTAATATAATAAAAAATGAACTACTAATAAATATATACTTTATATTAATTAATAAACAAAATAGAGATCCCAATAACTTTTTAACTCATTCAAAAATCAAGATTGTTATAAGATTTTGCTAAAGAGACCAACTCCCTCAAGGATTTAAGTATAAATCAAACATCCAATAAGCCCTCATATCTCTCTAGTATGACACATATAGTGACGTGTATAATATAGGACAAAACTTTTAATTATTCTAAACCTTTTTTCTTATCATCTCTTGCTTAGCCAAATTCAAAATTCAAATAGATCACCATCAAGAATTGTGATTCTTTATTTTTAGCTAGAGTTTCGATGTTTACCGCTTTAATTAATAAACGTGTTATATATGTGATGTTTGTATGAGATAAATAAGATTTTTTTTCTTTAACTAGAGTCTCGAATATGAGTCTTAGGTATAAAAAAATTGTTATGATAGAAAATGTTTACATAGACGTTGTGCAACGTATTAGTTGAGACGTCAATACATATATCAAAATAAAAAATTACAAATAAATGACTTGACTAATGTTGTTATTAATCTCCACACACACCAAGTATATAACGATACACACACATACACTATATATATCTATGTGTCCCACTTTCATTAATACTGCTCAAACTTTCATTGTGTCCGGTATATATAGAGTGAATTCTCTTCAATTCAATTCATTTATTGATCATCTTCTCCCTTCCTTCTCCTTCCTAATGAACAAAAGGAATGTGTAGACACATATAACACCACATCTATCTATACTATCAACATACCCTTCTACACCCCCCACCCCAAATTCCAAATCTTGTTGTGTGATCTATTTGATTGAAACAATATTGTATAACTTAATTATAGATTGAATCTGAAAAAAAGTGGATAAGAAGTAGTATATCTCTTAATTTTAGCTCCACTTCTTTAGGGGCTTATCACAGTCCTATTTGTTCTGGATAATACTTTGTGACTTAGTCTTTTTTTTCAAGTGTTTTTAGCTCTCAAACTCCCTTGACCAATGAGTTTCCTCAATTTTAGCTCTTTACCTTATCTCCCACAATTCTTGAAATAGATAAAAGGGGATACAAAACCAACATATAGTTACTTACTCATTCAAAATACCCTTTGATGGATTATTTGAAAGAAATACAAGGCAAAACATGTCATGATCATCCTTATTTCAACAAAATGAATACAAATACAAATACAAAGAGGTGTGTATTCGTCAACGGACCAGTAATCGTTGGTGCAGGACCATCAGGATTAGCAGCTGCAGCATGTTTAACAGCAAAAGGTGTTCAAAGTTTAGTAGTAGAGAGATGTAATTGTATAGCATCTTTATGGCAACTCAAGACGTATAATCGTCTTAGCCTTCATTTGCCTAAACAATTCTGTGAACTTCCACTCATGTCATTCCCTCATGATTTCCCTACTTATCCTACCAAACAACAGTTCATTAAATATTTGGAGTTATATGCCATGACTTTTAACATCCGTCCTCTATTCAATCAAACGGTCATATCTGCTAATTATGACCGGAATCTCGGACTCTGGAGAATCAGGACGGATACAATGACTACGACTATGACTACGAGTAGTACTGAGTATGTTACGCGGTGGTTGATTGTCGCAACTGGGGAGAATGCCGAGGCTGTGCTACCTCATATTGAAGGAATGGAAGAATTTGGTGGTACTATAATGCATACAAGTTTGTATAAAAGTGGTGAAGTTTTTACAAGGAAAAAAGTGTTGGTTGTTGGATGTGGAAATTCAGGAATGGAGGTGTGTTTGGATCTGTGTAATCATGATGCAACCCCTTCACTTGTCGTTAGAGATACTGTAAGAACACTCTCTATCTTAGTTGCACCGACTCTTCACTTTTGATACAACTGACATTTTTAAACAGTCTGAGCAATAGAAATCCCTTTAATCTTTTGGTTTAATAACAAAAAACTTTTCTTGGGACATTTTAAAGCAAATTGATTACAAACTTTTGTTTTTATGTTTTTTTGTCTCAACAAAATAACGGGAAACATGGTATTTCATTTCTTAACTTTATGTCAATTCATTTGAGAAAAAAGAGGTAAACTTTGTGATTTTTTATTTTTTTTTTGAAAATTTTAACTAATATAGAGAGACATATGGAAAAAGGTCTAGGGGTAATTTCTATATGTTTTAAGTAGTTTTATTAATCTTGTGTTTCCTGAAAAATTTCCTATTTATGTGGAAACACTGAGAAACCCTAGTTTTTTCTTTTTTGGGTAGGGGAAGGGGAATTACAATGTGGGGGAATCGAACCCTCAGATAGCCAACCAAACAAGTTACTAAGATTCCTAGAATTTATTTATTTTTTTCATCTAATTTTTTTTTGAATAAAAAAGAAGACAATTCTCATGTGCTGAAAGTTAAAAAGTTGGAAGTGACTTCAAGTTCCAACAAAATTGATTTGTAAATTTTTTAAATTTAACTAATTAAAAGATTTTGTTGTGTATTTTTTACTTTCTTGGAATTGTCAAGCATGCGCAATATTTGGTGGAAGCATGGACAATTTTTGTTTTCATTAATCATTAAAATTTATAATAATTGATTCCAATAAGTTTTTTTAGCAACCTAAAAGTGAAAAGTCCAGATATTGGCCATTCATCCAGAATGGCAATGGGCACTAAGCAATTAGCAACTTGAATTTCTCATCAATTTTATTCATTAACTTTATTATAACAAATTAATTTTGACTTTCATTTTTTTTTAATTTTTATTTTAGGTCCATGTCTTACCAAGAGAAATGCTGGGAAAATCAACTTTTGGGCTATCCATGTGGTTACTAAAGTGGTTACCTATTCGACTTGTCGATCGATTTTTGTTGATTACTTCAAGGTTATTGCTCGGTGACACGTCTCGACTCGGGTTAGATCGACCTGAAATTGGACCCCTCGAGCTAAAAAACTTGTCCGGAAAGACCCCTGTGCTTGACGTTGGAACGCTTGCTAAAATTAAAAGTGGTGACATTAAGGTACGCTATAAAAAATAAAATATCATGGATGAACTAGGTATCAAATCATTTTTTTTTTTTTTACCTTTCCTCATACTCAATCATTGCAAATATTCTATAAACAGTGTGACAAAATCTCTTCAAGCTTAATTTGTCCCAACATTTTATTGATTCTACTAGCATCATTTCTAAGTGGAAAACCCCTAGGTTGTAGTACTTAAAATAATTTTTATTTTTTTATTTTTAAGGTATAAATTTTTCTTGTGATATAAATGAGTAATTTTTAGTTGTTATATTATGTGTATAGGTATGTCCTGGAATTAAGAGATTATTAAAGCATCACACGGTGGAATTTGTAAATGGGCAAACAGAAGAATATGATGCAATAATCTTGGCAACTGGTTACAAAAGCAATGTGCCCTCGTGGCTAAAGGTACCCACTCTTTTTACCTTTACTTAGTTTCCGTTTGACCATAGATTCTGAAGTTGAAATTTGAAAACTTGAGTTTTTGAACTAGTGATTTTTGAAACTTGAAGTTGTATTTGGACATGCATGTTTTATGAGTCGAATTTATTGACAAAATTTCAAAATCTGAACCAAAATCTATGACCAACCAAATGTTTGGAGACAAATTTTCAAAATCTGATTCAGAATCTACAACTGAACACTAACTTAGTTACTTGTTTCCTAAGGATGTGTTCAATGAATTTGATTGAGAAAATAGAAAACTGCAACTATGTATAATATGAGTCGAATTTTGTAGCCAAATTTTCAAAATCTGACAAAATCTATGGCCAAACAGATATTTGTCAATATCTGATTCAGAATCTATGGTCGAACGCTAACTTAGTTACTTGTTTCCTAAGGATGTATTCAATGAATTTGATTGAGAAAATAGAAAAACACAACTATGTATAATATGAGTCGAATTTTGTAGACAAATTTTCAAAATCCGACAAATGACCAAACAAATATTTGTGAATATCTGATTTAGAATCTATGGTCGAACGCTTACTTAGTTAGTTGTTTCCTAAGGATATGTTCAAATTATGATTGAGAAAAATGAAAAAAAGTATATAAGTTTAATATTAGGTTTTGTTTGGTTTGCAGGAAAAAGAGATGTTTTCAGAGAAAGATGGTCTACCAAAAAGGCCATTTCCCAATGGGTGGAAAGGAGAGTGTGGACTTTATGCAGTGGGGTTCACCAAACGTGGCTTGCTTGGTGCTTCAATAGATGCAAAGAAAATTGCTGAACATATTCATCAATATTTCCAATGAAAAATATTTTTGATTAACCAAATCTCCCCACACACACCAAAAAAAATTTAAAAGTGTTGGTACCAAAAAGAAGGGTTTTTGATCCTACAAATGAAGAAACAAAAAGAAAAAGAAGATCAAGATTTTTGTGGGGATTTATCATCATCAAAATCTAGCTAGTGTATACACACCTTGTACATTTTTTTTGTTGTTTCCAATTTTCTCTTATTTTTATTATTATTATTAGGTATTATGACATTGTTAGGGGAGAAAAAAAAAGAAGGAGATTTAGGCTTTTTTTGTTTTTGTTTTAATGAGTTTGGTTATATGAGTATTAATTACTAATATTCATATATGTTTTTTTTTTGGTTTATTATGACAACACAAGAAAAAAAAGATGATTTTTTTTTTTTTTTTTTCAAAAGAAAATATAATTTAATTGTGAGGTTTGTAATTTTCCAAGTAGGATTTTGGTATTTGCATGTCTAGGGAGTATATAATTAAATATGATAACGAAATTTACGTACCAAAATTCCCAATGATCAGAGCGACCTGTGCACTATCTTTATGAATTTCTGCCATTTCCTGCTGTGTTGATATCTCATTAATTTAAATACTCCAACTAGTATTTAGGACCACTTGGGGTTTAATTCATTCATCTGCTTCTACAAAATAAGAAATTCAAATTAATGAAAAAGTTAAGAATTACTACTAAGATGATAAAATGCTACTTGGAATACTGAGTCAAGATCTCGAATATCTCATAAACTCTTAGGATATTCATAAAGAGATCAAGATAGATATGTCAGACTTTTCTTGATAATCAAATACTTCAAGAAGATCCACAAATCCTTTAAAAGTTCAAATCATGCGAGTCCGAGAAATACGTCACTAATAGCTAGAGATATCTTAGGACAGAAAAATAATTGCACACACATTGTTTAATCAATGAATTATGTTTCTTAAAAAAAAGAATAGAGAGTCGGGAGTCTAGAGTCTTTCGGAAATATATAGATTATGTTACTGTCATTACCACTTGGAATCGAATTGATGTTTTGCCACTTGGAATAGAGTAGTGAAAGTCCAATTTCTCTATTTCTATGAGGTAGGGATAAAATTTGAATACATTCTACCCTTTTCAAACTTCAGATGTGAGATTACACTGATTATATTATTGTTATTACTACTCGGAATTGAATTTGATGTTTTATCACTTGTTCCTAAGAAATATAATTCATTATTTTATAATCCTTTTTAATCAATCAAATAACAAGATTACATGATTTGTCAAGAAAAAAAAAAGATATCTTTTTTGTGTGTGTGTGTGAATAGAATAATGTGCCATAATCATGAAAAATTTAATTAACTTCCCTCTCTCTATCTTTTTTTCCTTGTTGAAATTTTCTAAACATTTTTACAAGTCACATGTATTTTCTTTTGAGATTTATACTAATAAACAATATAATGGACCTTTTGCAATCCTCAAATCAAATCCAAATGGTCCCCCATTCTTAAGTAAAGACCTTTTGATAAAGAATAGAGTACAAAGCAACATATAATTGCTAATTAGTTGCTTTCAGAACATGCCTTAACCTTTTATTGATTGGTAAAACATAATTCAAATTCAAATTTGGCAATTTTGTCCTGGTCATAATGTAGGCCAAATAATTTATTTATGCATCACAATCTTTGCAAATATAATTACGATTATATTGGTATATTAATTTATTAATGATGAAAATAATGAAATACAAAATGATGTTGCTAAATATGCAAAAACAATTCATTAAAAAATGACAAAGAGGAGTACAAGATCTTAAGCTCGTTTGGATTGATTGATTAAAAGTAGATGATTAATATCAATAGTTTAAAATTATTGTTAGGTATTGAAATTGATTTTATAAATAATCAGTAATTTATTTGGATAAAGTGATAAAATTAATAAAAACATAATTAGTGTATTTGATAAAAAGGTGCTTATTAATAAGCATTTTGTTCTGTTAAACTAGCTGAAATATTCTTTTATATATATATATTAATAAATATAATTCTATATTATTTTTTACATAGAAAATGGCTAATTGTTAAAATGAAAAAGAGGGATAGGTAAAAGTTTTGTTTTGGTGAAGATTACAAAAGATATATATTAGGAATTCAAAAGTAAAGGTTTGGTTAAATAAAAAATGTGTATAAGCTGAAAAATCATAAAATGGACCAATTTATGTTTTTTATTGGTTGATTTTAACTTATAAACACTTTTTGTTATTTATCAAACATGTAGTATCGATCGGAAGTATTTATATACTAATTCGATTGACGTATAGTCTTATTCAAAATTCACTTAAAAAATTATTTTAAAGATAAAGTAGTTTGAATTTTAAAGATAATTCAAATTCAAATTTGGCAATTTTGCCCTGGTCATAATGTAGGCCAAAGGGTTTATGCCTCACAATCTTTGCAAATATAATTACGATTATATTGATATATTTTATTAATAATGAAAACAATGAAATACAAAATGAGGTAGCTAAATATGCAAAAACAATTCATTAAAAAAAATTGTAGTTTGAAAGTTTGGAAATGAAAATTTTGATCAAAGTTAACATTTTAGGTTGTGATGGGGTTGGATTCAAGTTTTGACAACTCTGTTATGTATGAAGGATAATTTTTTACTTCGTTGGGTGATTTGCACGGTTTCAAAATGTTCGTGAGTGTTTTGAATTATTGATTGAAATTTTAACCTTTAGAAAGTCAAGTTTGACCAGAAACAATATTTGATCAAGACGACTTCAGATAGGTGATTTTGATAATTATTTTAACAAGTCTGAACCATGTTTCGTGATTGATTTGCATATTTAATTGTGCTTGGGAGTTTCTAGATAAATTTTGAATGTCAATTTTGAGTTTTGGTTGAAGTTCGGTGGTTGTTGGTGTCTGATGTCTAGTGTAGTCGCACTTACATTGTATTGTTTGTAATTGTGAGGTGTGGTTCACAATTTTCTAAGATGGATCACAATATTGTAACTGCTAAATTGATCATTATGAAATTCTCCAATTGGAGGTTGATTGATAATTCATTTCTTTTCAGAAGCTTTCTACCAAATATGTTACCCAATTCTAAAATAAATGTTATATTTGACCTCGGAGGCTGAGGTTGACTTTTTGACTTAATTTTTAAATCAAACTTTTATTATAGTGTCTACGTATTTGTTCATTTAGTGAAATTTCACTGAATATATTGTTATTATTGTAGTATTCATGTACTTGTATATTCATATAAATTACACATTTGGCTAGACTTGGGACCTTTAGAGATGTTGCAAAAGAAAATTTCATAATTTGACAAGTCGTGCTTCAAGCTTAAGGGAAGTTGAGACTTTTTAAATGCTTTATAAAGTGTTGTATTGATAATTATTGGCAAAATCATCAAATGGACCTTTATATTTGTACACGTTTGTATTTTAAACCCTCCTATTTAACACTTTATCGACTAAACTCTTAAACTCATTAAAACGCAATATTATAAATATATTTCTCAGCAAATCACTGTGTGTGTAATCCAACCTCTTATACGTGTAATTTCATGTCATTTTTCAAGGACACGTAAGAAATTAAATATTAAGAAAATAAAAAATTCAAATATTTAACTTGTGTAATTTCTAATTTTTTATTAAATAGTCATGTTCTTCAATCCTCATATATTCTCACAAATTGAGCACCAAATTCATGTCAATTAAATGAAATTCTTCTTTATTTGACTTAAAATTTCAATTTGCAATTCACTAACACAAATCCAACGAGCCCCAATCACAAAGTTAAATTAATTTCACAAATTTATAACACATTTGTTGTTCTTCTATCTTTCTCAAGTTTATCAATGGAGTTTTCAACTTTTTCAATACCCACCATCACCCTTTACGTTAATCCATATCCTACCTCCTCTTTGAATTCAACTAACACAAACAATGGTTCAACTTTTAATAAAAAACACTCAAAATTTAGAAAAATGAGGGATGAAAAAAGAAATTAGGGGCGGAGCTTTGATTTGTTGCGAAGAAGAGGAGGAGGAGGAGAGAGTGTATGTCGGGTGATTTTGAAGATAAAAAAGAGAATAGGTGTGGTGGGTGATTTTGTTGAAGAAGAAGAGAAGAAATTAAAGTTGAGGTTAGGGGGAAGGAAGAGTGTTGGAAAAGAAGAGAAATTGAGGGTGGGGTGGGGTGGGGTGGGAGAGGGTTAATGAAGAAATAATTTTTTTAATTAAAAAAATAATATTTTAAAATATAATATAGTGATTTACGCGCTTGCAAGCGAGTGTATTCACACATTTTTCCAACTCAACAATATTTATGCTACATAGGTTTGGTCGATGGTAAGAAGGGTTTTAAATATTGTATTTTAATAAGTTTAAGGGTCTAGTTGACAATGTCTAGAGTAAAGTAAGAGAGTTTAGAATACAAACTCATACAAGTAAACGGGTCCATCAAACCATTTCTCCATAATTATTTATGTGAAAATTAGGGATGTTGGGGTTCCCATATGAGTTGTATGATGAGCACTTATATATTTACCAGTGTCATGATAGTAGAAGTCGGATATTGATTATTTTTACGCATGACTTATATTGTTCGGTAGATGAGGCATTTGTTTCCTTTCTCATATCACATTTGTAGTACTCGTGGATCATATGGTTCTTCTTTTATGGACAAAGAGCATGATCTGAAAGTATTGAGATACACTTATGAGATATAACAACCTTTTATTTCCTATTCTCCGATGACTTATAAATAAGAATTGGAAGCAATTGATGAACCTCATGAGTTCTTCATGGGTCTTGACCACCCAACAAAAGAATCGTGTGTGTATTGGTGCATTGTCCAATATATCATCTTCGTATTATATGCATTGCATGACATCATTTGAATTGATCTTACTTGAAATAATAGAGTGTGGTAAACTATCAAGATTTGAGACTATCCCTAATCATGAAACGATTCTTAGAGAAACAAGTGACCCTTAACTAACCTCATGACGTAATATGACACTAAGATTAATATGAAATAGTAAAACAAGGTAACTATCTGCGAAGCTCAACAAAAATAATCTAAAATATCATTAGACGAAATTATGAGTACAAATAGTTGAATCTAAATTGTCTGTCTAAAAGCCTCTACTAATATGTGTTGCTAGGACAAATCCCTAGCTAACTCCAACGGTCTGAAAGCTGAAATAAACATATTGAAAGAAAGATAAAAGTTGTCCTCGAAGTGATGAGGACTGACCAATATTATTACTAGCTGGTCAGAGATAGTACTAACCGCGAGTTGGATAATGACCATCAGAACT